ATTTTACCGCTCACAGAATTACCTATACTAACTCACAGCTGAACATAGACTCACTCAAACAGCTATGAAAAATGAAAATTCCTACCTTTCTCTCGTCCGCTTGATCGCGCTTCTCCATCACTAACAGACCACTGGCGACCTGAAATAATTCTAAAGCACAAACGCAGGTATTCACTGACAACGAGTAGTTACATTTCATTCGCACATTCCGCCCAACATATAACCTAAACAGCGAAGAATAATATATGGGAAGAAATAAGTATATACTTATCTATCTCATTGACATCCATGTAACCAAGTCATTTGAATGATTAGCCGGACAGAACACGCCATAACAAGACCATATCGACTTGGTCGGCCATGCTGACTAGTCAATCGGGATGGTTCGGAAGGAGTTAGACTCATACACTATGTCGACTTGGCGGGCCGCGGTGAGTGCTCATTCTCAATGGTTCGGGAGCTATCGGGCGAAACCCTTCAGGCCTTCGTTTAGAAATTAATGGTTCTGGAGGTCCGGTGCGGAACCTCTGATGGCTTCGTAAAGGTGAGAAATGGTTCAGGAGCTCTAGCACGGAACCCTTGATGGTTTCGTGAGATGAGGAGCGGTTTGGTAGGTCTGGTACGGAGCCCTTCATGGTTTCAGAAAAGAATGAATGGCTTCGGAGGTGTATGGCGGAACCATGATGGTTCGGTAATATGAGAAAAGGTTCGGGAAGGGTAGCGCGGAACCCTTCATGGTTTGGGAAGATGAGGAATGGTTCGGTTGGTCTGGCACGGAACCTTCCATGGTTTTGGAAAGAGAGAGAAGGTTCAGGAGCTCTAGCACGGAGCCCTTGCTGGTTTCATGATATGAGGAATGGTTCGGGAGGTCCAGTATCGGCGCCCTAGTGATTCCGTAAAATGAGAAGTGGTTCGGGAAGTGCAGCACGGAACCCTTCATGGTTTCGCAGAGGGATGAATGGCTGCGGACGTCTGGTACGAAGCCCCACAGGATTTCGGAAAATGAGGTACGATTTTGGAGGTCTGGTGCGGAACCTCTGATGGCTTCGCAAATTGAGAAATGGTTCGGAAGGTGTGGTACGGAACTCAGGAAGGCTCGGCATCCGAAATGCGAAACCTCATTCAGCCTAGTGATGTACGTAAAGGTTCGTTATGTCTACTACGAAACCCTACATGGTTTCGTAAGTCTTTTTCGAAACCTTTTATGTGCTCTACGGAACTATGGCAGGTTTTGTACCAAACATACGAAACCAAAAAAGTTCAGTATACACGCTGCTGAACCTTTCAATGGTTTGGCAATAACAGCACGAAACCTTTTTGGTTCTCAAAACCTAAAAAAAGTNTGTTTCTAAGGAAATTCTCCTGGTGTCACAAATACAAGTTACATTACATTTTGAGAACGTATCTCTCAGTTTCGATGTATGATAAATTTCTTTGCACATTTGTAGTTATGAAAAACTTTCTTTTACCTAATATTTGCTCCGCTCATAATGAAATTCTCTTATGGACTGTTGACCTCAAGGCTCAAAGTACTCTTAACATCGACCCTACCTTACCTGCCCTTCCCACTCTCAACCAAGTTTTAGTGCCAAAACGTCCTTCGAAACCCTGTTTTATGAAGTTTCAAACATTTTCAAAAACTTGAGTTTTTTACCTTTGATCTTTGCCCTACAACAGACATACTCACAAACGAATTTCGATTTTTGCACCACTTTTTTCGACATGACCCTCCTTTTAGTCGAGGAAATGAAACAATGCTCATAGTACATCTAGCTACAATCTAACTATGAATCTATTGAAATGCATGCACAAACAAGAGAAAAATGTCATTTCACGCGATGTCATCGAGGATATTAGACTTTATATCCATCTTTATTTTTTCTGGAGACTTTTTAGCCGATGCTGGAGTATCGATCGAATAAGCCGGTGGTTCGCCCATGACACTTATCTCTACAGCTGTACTTCGACAATGCTGAAATAAACACCAGATAACGATAGCAACAATCATTAGTAAAAGCAGTAGCATATTAATGAGCATAACTGTATTGTGAACAGCAAGTATGCTCACAAGTTTATGAATTCCATTGCGAACTTTTTCATTGATCACAAATATATTCATTCCAACTAATCATCCACCTCCATCTAACTCACGTTCCAAAGCTAAATAATAATCACCCAAAAGTGTATCTACAGATCAAACCACATGAAAAATACATAAAATGTAGCGAATATCAACGATGAAATTTTCTCTTATCCTATCTATTACTATATCCTAAAATCCTCCATCCAAAATTATACCATCACACAGAGCACTTAATTCGAAATCGCATTCAACATTTTCACCTATACACAGATATCGTCACACGAAGGAATGTTCTCCTCCATGTTCGCACATACAATGCAAACGTGTGTGGCTGCAGAGAAAATGAAAATTTCGCTTTCGGGTCCGAAGTTCGTGACCATCGGAGATATCGTTTCGGGTGTTATTCCGTCAAATAGAGCTTCTCTTTCCGAGTCAGAATCTGTATTTCGATGGTTGAAATTCATATTGCGCAAGAGAGAAATGCTCTCCTTCACGTTCGCATATATGCGCAGTTCGAGATGTATAGATTGCTGGTGAGAATCTTAACTGGGAAGTGGATTTTACGATGGATTGTAGATATCGTTCGCAATTTGTTTTGAAATAGAAATTGTGTTTCGCAGTTACAAAGGAGATGTAATACTCAGAAATTATGATGTCAGACAGAGCAAGGCTCACGGGTATGGTGTTGGATTTGGTCGACATCGGTATATGTGCAGGCGAGGTGAGAATTTGACGGTAAAGTCGAATTTTGTTTTTTGTTGGATGGATTGAAGTGGAGGATTTTTACATATGAGGGGAATACAGTTTTGATATCGAGCCTCATGATTTTCGCTATTACATGGTTTGTGAAGTGAAAGAAGCTTCATTTCAACGTTGAATAAGAATTTGCTGTGCTGATGGAATCAGGTAGCGGGAACTGGGAGGATCGGTGTTTCTACTCTGTGGATAGGAATGAAAATCTAGTTTTGATGGTGTATATGTAGGAATCTGCTTGTGTGTTGTCGAATTGCATTCATTTTGAGATTCGAAGAAGTTTTGGTTTTTCCCAATTATCTTGAGGGTATGTTTTGGATGCAGTAGTCTTTGTCTATGATGGTGTGGTAGAAGCGATGAGCGAGCGTTTGGTTCCATGCGCATCAAGATCTGCGCTATTTCTCAGGCATTTGCGTGAGATGATGGCCGGCATAGTGGGCAGTGGTTATATAGGAAAGGGGTTTTCTTGAATATACAGATATTACTCATTTCGACTGTTGAGCGATTGGAAGTGCGACGACCTGCGGGTGTGATATGGAATGGTCTTAAAGAGCTTTCTGAGCGATAGTTGAGATTTTGTCTGGAGCAGCAGTTCTGGTGCAGGTATATAGACGTTTTCATTATATGCCATTTGCATGGGTATCCGATGACAAATACGAAATATCTATGGTGAACGCATCACATACGGAGAAATTGTACTGGGTAGAAAAAAGCAGTATGCTCAAAATTTCGACACTTGCGGTCCTTATGTTTCCGGTTTTGCATTGCACAACGCAGTTGTTTCGGTTGCAATTTTGTACGCAAAGACGGTGCTGAATCTGATTTCTGCAATAGGGGTTTGATTAATTTTCTTTTACTCTGATATATATTCTTCATTCCAGTCGTTCATTTATAGACTTCATTGCCACTTTCACACGTCAGCCTATAGATAATATCTTCTCATTCACCCTTCCTTCTTTCACTCTGATCCACCATCAAGGTTGATCTCAATCTTTTCAAAGCCTGCATCGCTACTGATTGATTACATCGATTCCCTGTAGCCACTGCAACACCCATAAATGTATACCGCGAGTAGATAATTCTCTTCGAGCGCTCAGACGGCCTTCGGCCGCCTTCGCTATCACAGTTAACCTCGATACTTTCTCCAACGAACATCCACCATCAATAGCCCTCCTAAACGATGTTTTATGAAGTTTTGGTCCATTTCGAAGAAAATGTTTTTTTGACCTTTGATCTTTGACCTGCGATAGACACACACACACACACAAACAAACGAATTTCCGTTTTTTGACCACTTTTTTTCGACATGGCCCTCCTTACAGTCGAAGGAATAATAATGGTCCTAAAGGAACTGTACGTACTAATAGCTAGATATTGTAGTTCTTTTTTGTCTTGACAATAAATTTAACGAAAGCAATGAAATTGAAGATGATATGGAAGAACACAAAAAAGTTTCCGGAGAATGACAAATCCTGAGAAATGGTTTATGACTGTTAAATAAGTTCATGAATTTGACTTAGCCCTTGATAAATTCTTTTTTCATTTATAGCTGTTGAAAGGTTTGTTATGAAAAAAGGATTCTTCAGAAATTACATCAAATTCATAAACTTATTTAGCAGTCATAGATCCGTTTTTAGGGTTTATCGTTCTCCAGAAATGCACTACTATGAGCAAGACTATCGCTTACTCAATTACTTAATTAAATTTATCTTATCCGTAAATGACTCTCTTGGTGCAGAGGATGATTCGGATAAACGTCGACGAATTCGAAAATCAGTTCGATTTTGTTTTCGAACTTGGCAACATCAAAACTATATTAACCGATCTGAACAACAGTTGGACTGCAACGAAACGAAATGCCAACAAAAGCAAGATATAAATACATTTGTTTATGAAAAATCCTTTTCCAAAGGACGGGGGCGCATAAGACCACGAATCGACCCATTTTTATTTTGCCTACAAACCCCTTATGAATTTTACACCATCAGAAAGAGCTCGTTCAGACGAGCATTTTGATATAAACTTGTTGGGGTTTCGACCAAGTTTTCATTACAATAAGCCACCGGCAAAAATCGTCCTTCTTCGACAATTTGCTGTAAATTTTGGTTTTTACGAATTGCCTATACTACTCACAGCTGAACATAGACTCACTCAAACAGCTATGTAAAATGAAAATTTCTACCTCCCTCTCGTCCGCTTGATCGCGCTTCTCCATCACTAACAGACCACTGACGACCTGAACTAATTCTAAAGCACAAACACAGGTATTCGCTGACAAGAAGTAGTTACATTTCATTCACGCATTCCGCACAACATATAACCTAAACAGCGAAGAATAATATATGGGAAGAAATAAGTATATACTTATCTATCTAATTGACCGACATGTTGCCAAGTCATTTGAATGATTAGCCGGACAGTACACGCCATAACAGGACCATATATCAGCCTAAAACAAAAGACTGACTACTCATTCTCGATGATTTGGAAGAAATCAGACTCATAGACTATATCGACTTGGCCGGCCATGCTGACTAGTCAGTCGCGATGGTTCGGGAGGTATCGGGCGAAACGCCTTAGGCCTTCGATCAGGAATTAATGCTTCTGGAGGTCCGGTACGGAACCTCTAATTGCTTCGTAAAGGGAGAAATAGTTCAGGAGCTCTAGCACGGAACTCCTGATGGTTTTGTGAGATGAGGAGTGGTTTGGTAGGTCTGGTACGGAGCCCTTAATGGGTTCAGAAAGGGATGAATGGCTCCGGAGGTGTATGGCGGAACCGTAATGGTTCGGTAATATGAG